ATTCCTGCTTACTTTTATATAATTTAAAAAGGAACTATCAAAATTACTATATATCTGTGTGCAACTAATAACATATGCCCAAATGGCATTTCCCATTCTCAGCACTGCACTGCCATCACTCTCAGGCATGGTGCAGCTAAAGAAAATGAAGTGTGGGAATGAAATAACTTGTGACCCGGCAGTTGTGTCCAACTTTCAGCTGAAAGCTGTGCTTGAGTTCCCCGACTGCTTGGTCTTGAGCATTGTCTGTGTTTTTCTTAAAGACTACCGGCAACAGGTTTTGAAAAATCTTTCTTATTACATGATGCTGCTTAAGATTTTCAGTTTTCCCAGTGATTATTTACATAGGTGGATCCTCTACAGTGACTATAATTTTCCAGACAGCAACCTCCTTGGACCAAGTTCAAGCTTTAGGAGCACCTTTTCTTACTCTTGGATCCTTAAAGGTGGGAAGTACTCAGAGGCTCAGTTAAGTACAGTGGGTGTTACAGACTCGATCACAAGTCCCTTGCTTTGGAGGTGGAACAGAAGAAAAGCAAAATCTCTTTGCCCATCTGTTTAGCGGGGTACCTGCCCAACATGTAATAATGTGGAAAAGGGGCTATTTTTGTCAGCCCTTGCGGGAAATCTGAAAATACCTCACGGTTGTTCCAAAAAGTAATGTCCAGATACATATTAATTAATTTTTTGTATCTGTGCTGTCTGATTAGGACACAAATTCCCGTGATTTCCACCACAGTCCATGGAGAGAGACAGGCATCTCCCAGAGCAACCTGCTCCACCTGTAGCATTAACTGCCTTCTGGAAATGTTATTTTCTCCCTGCTGACTGCTAAGAGAAAGTTTTGAATCATTCGACCCTTCATTTAGTGCTTCATTCAAGTCCATAAAGTAAGGTGGAATTAGGTGGTTTTAAAAGTGATGAATTCTTTGAAATGGAGCATAATCATGACAAAACCGCCCAGAAGGAGGCTATGAAGAATGCAGCCTGGGCCCCAGGAGGGGTTAGCACATCACAGCGGCTCTGAGAGGATGATCTGGAGCAATTCTCAGATAGGAAATTATTCCTGTTTGCCTTACGCTCTCCTACTGTGACAAGACCAGACACTGCTGGAGAGACTAAAAGCGGTGTTCTCTCTGCCATTCATACATAAACAGGAGATTTGCTTTGCAGTGCTACTCTCTCTTCAGCCACAGCAGCAATATTTGTGGGTGGACCAATTACCTCCAGTTGTCACTGGAAATGTTAACTCTGAAAACTCCCTCAAAATCCTACCCGTCAAACTGCTCTTAATGGATTGACACATCGTGTCCATAATGTCAGTCTTCATCTCTCATACAGTAAACTGTACTGTAGTACCTGGCACTTTCACAGCTTTCTGAACAATTTTTGTCTGCAGTTATCTGTGAATTAATTATTATTATTTCTGCCAAATGAACTTTGAAGCTGTTCTGAATAAGAGCAAGAACAAGATTTCAAATCAGTGTGTTTCCACTTCAGTTTTATAATACAATATGCTTTTATATACATGTAGAAGACTGGTGTCATTTCACCTTTTTAATTAAAAACCTGTACTCACCATAATGGTCCTTCCTCAAATTGTAAGAAGAGATTTTTTTTCAGACATGTTTTGCATGTCATTCAACAACTCATTACAACCCCCACCCAACAATCTGCTAATGAAAAATACCTATCACTAAACTACTATAAAAAAATCTGAAAGTTGTTGCTGAATCACTCAGTTCATCAATTTGTACCGAGAGAAACAATCATAATTTATGGGATTTACAGGATAGAAAGCACAGCTAAACTGTGCACTTGTATTTAGGAAAATACAGTTTAGTCGTGATTCATCACATTAAACTTGAGCTATTTACAGTTAGGTATCTATTCTAAGCTAATTACTAGAATCTCTCTTTACTTGAGTTACCTCCATTTATTTAATAGGTACCTCCAAAAACCTACTCTCATCTACCAAAACATGTGGTTTAGGATTACAAGATTTGCTAGTGAGCTCTGACAGCTCTGCACCAGGGGTGTGGGCTTCCTCTAGCAGCATCTAGGCAGGAAGAATACAGTTTACCTTGGGGTTGAGTCTGCAAGGAAGAGAAGACAATCCCATTCTATGGAGGCCAAGATCAAGCTTGTAAAGACAGAAGTTTGCTATTCTTGTTTAAATAAGCTGACAAACGTGTATAAAATCCAGTGGAGCAGTGAGGGAGGCTGGCAGTCCAAAGGGGCAGGTTTTCCCACATTTCCACCTCACTGCTGTACCATGAAGTATTGACAGACTTCATCACGCAGCAACACGTGCATGATTCCTCTGGGGGCTTCTTACATAGACCTTCTTAGCTTTAACTGCTTAGCAGCTGTACTGGAGGAGCAAGACACACATAGCCTCATGGAAAGCACCACCTGTTAATTTAAAGAATCCATACTGGCAACAGCAGAATCACAACTCCTCTTGAGCCTGAAAAAATACCAGTCTTCCTAGGATCACAGACGGCAGCACCTTTTAGGTTGATCTCTACTGTCTCTATCCAAAGCTCAGTGAAATCCTGTAGAGCCCTCCAGCCGTCTTCCCATGCATTTTGGAGGA